TGGGGTAAGACCTCACAATCACAAACAACAAAAGCAAAAGTAGACAAGTGGAATGTTTCTGACAAAAATAAATTATAAATTTTTAAATGACAAATGCCTGAGGTGGGGGTAACCCCAATTATCCTGATTTGATTATTACACATTGCATGCATATATCAAAACATCACATGCATATCATAATTGTATACAACTATTATGTATCCATATTACAAACAAAAAAATTTTTAAATAAACATATAGTATTACATTATTAATCTAGAAAGCTTCTGCACAGCAATGGAAACAATCAATGGAGTGAAGATAGGAGCCAACAAAGAACTGGAAAAAATATTTACAAATTATTCATCCAACAAGAGATTAATAGCCAGAATATATTTTTAGAAAACTAAAACAATAGTAGAAAAAAAACACAAATAATCCGATTTAAAAATTGGCAAAATATCTCAATAGACATTTCTTAAAATAAGACATGCAAATGGCAAATAGGCATATAAAAAAATTCTTAGCATTACCAATCCTTGGGGAAATGCAAATCAATACTACAATGATGTATCATATCACCTCAACAACGACAAAAAAAATACAACAAATGCTGGCAAAGATGAGCTGAGAAAGAAATGTTATTACACTGTTGGTGAACTGTAAATTAGTACAACCATTATAGAACATTATGGAGGTTTCTGAATAAAGCAAAAATAGAACTACCATAACAATCCTACTGCTTGATACATCCACAAGAAAGGAAATCGATATATCAAAGAGATACGTGCACGCTGATTACTGAAGCACTTCTCACAATAGCCAAGACTTGTAATCAATGTAAGTATCCATCAGTGGTTGAATGGATAGAGAAAATGTGATACACATGCACAATGGAATCTTATTCAATCACGAAAAGGAATTAAATCCTGTTATTTGCAACAATATGGGTGGAACTAGAGGTCATTATTTAAGTGAAACAAGCCAAGCATAGGAAGACAAATGTCACACGTTCTCACTCATATGTGGGAGCTACAAAAGTGGATCTCATGGAAGTAGACAATAGAAATGTGGTTACGAGAGGCTGGGAAAGGAAGAGGGGAGGTGGGAATCAAGAGAAGTTTGTTAATGGGTACAAAAATACAGTTAGATAAAAAATGAGTTTTAGTATTCAATAGTAAGGTAGGGAAATTACAGTTAAGAATAATTTAACTGCATATTTAAAAATAGCTAAAGGGAAGCTCTCAACACACAAAAAAAGATTAATGAGGTGATGGAGATCTCAATTACATTGACTTGATCATCACACATTTTATACATGTATCAAAATATCCCATGTATCCCTGAAATATGTACAATAATGACATATCAGTAAAAATACGAAAATAAATGAGTAAAAAATGCAAGGGGGCCTGTCTGCATGTACTTCATAGTCTTGACTCTGCCGCCAAGCAGAGAGATGAAACAGGTAGAGGTGGTTCCTTGAGTCTTTCTGAGACTCAGAGAATATATAGTTTTTTCTTTGTTTAATTAAGGAATGTAAATTAGATAAGATTCACAGAATTCAATCTACAAATACAAAAAAAAGTCCCAAGGTATCTCATTATGTGAAGAGTATCTCATTGTATAAAGTGAGCTTTTTCCAAGGAGTTCCCTAGGGAAAATCTTGTTCACATCACCTCTCAGGACCTCAATCTTTTAGGAATTCCTCATAGAAAATTATTCATATCAGTGTTGGTGCTTGAAAAATAATTGTTTACCCCATCCAAGAATACAGCAAGAGTTTGAAATGAAACTTGCTACAAAAGCCCTGTTTTGCTCAGCTGTCAGGAGAGATGATTGAGAATAACCAGGATTCAACACCTACTTCCAGATATGCAGCTTAGCTCTCTGGATGTCTATTGTACTTGGTGTGAGAAAAAAACTCATCCTAAGACTCCAGGTAAAAAGGAAAGTGCTAAAGTGACCAAGAAAGAAAGGTTCTGAAGGGAACAAGAACCTCCCAAACTAGAAATCTTGTGTGTCCTAGGAGAAACCAAAGCTTTACTTTTATAACCCACAGTCTATTTGAGAGAAGAGATTTTTCTTATTCCCTTCTCTAGAATTCTCAGCCTTAGAAATGTTACTACTGGGCTGTTTTTGAGTGGGGACAGTTTAGGTGCTGAGAGTCCCAAAAAATGAAGTATTATTGTAGCTCAAACTGTCTACCCCTTTTCAACTACTAGGATTTCCTTGTCCTGTAATCATTCAGTCATTTCACCACAGGTGTTCTCTTCCTCTTTTGCTTTTCTCATGATCTCTTCTTGGTGAAACCTCTGGACTCACAAGACACTGCCTAATATGCAAGACAGAGCTTCCTGAAATTGGCTGCTCATTGTCTCAAAAACAGGGGGAAACCAAAGCTTGGTGAGTACTATGTTTGGTGTATGTGTGCTATAAGCACCAGTACAGTAGTCTTCAGAGGTATTGATAAACATGAGGGGTAAGAATGAGAACAAGAACAGGGTTGCAGATTGAGGGTCTATTCCTATTTCCACTGGAATAAGAGCAACTACCAGTCATACTCTCTCATGTACATACCTCATGTTCTTCCTTATTACATACAAGATGTCCCCATTCCAAAGAGATCACCTAGGTGGACCAGCATCAACTGTGTCTTCCAAATTTCATACTGTGCTCTAGATAGGATGAATAGTGCCTAGGAACATTTGAGTGCATGTATGTGACAGTGCCTTGTGCAAGGAGGAGTCCATTCATTCCTGGATGCGTTCAGTTATTCATTCACTAATTCAGTCATTCATGGAACATTTCTTGAAAATGTACTACATACCTGGGGATTCAGACATATAGAGTGAGGCAGAGTTACTACACATTGAAACTTAGAGTTATGTCAGGGAGACAGTTTCATAAATAATCATGGATAATTTAATAAGTATCTTTTAGAAGTATATTGTTTTATACATATATCAAAACATATCCATTTCTACACTTTAAATATGCACCTTTTATAGCATAAAAATTCACCATAATGAAGCAGTAAAAAATATGTACTTTTCAAAAAATGTTGGAAATGGGGTCAGTAATGAATTATTTTATATGTCCTTAAGAACACTTGACTTACAGCAATATTCTTTTTAAAGTTGTTGACAATAACCCTTCATCAGGAACACAGTTTACATTGTAACTCAGTGCACACACACACACACACACACAAAATTGAAGTGAATACTTTCTCATAACTATGCACATATTGTAAGAAACAGTATTTTTTTCTTCTTCATATATACTGCTGTTAACTCACTAAATCTATCTCATTAACCATGAATGTGTTATAAATCAGTTTCAAAAACACTGACTTAAGCAAGAGGTTATATTGGCTTTTGATGTCAGAATTTATCAGTGATTCTCTTGTGTCATGTCCTTAGAGGGAAGCTAAAGGGAAAATCTTTCTCATTTAATTTTACCAATCCTTCAAAGTGTTCCCAGCCTCTGCCTTCCTAGTCCCTCAAAGCCAATAGACCCTCCTGCAGGTTGGACCCTCTCCTTTAGGTTCAGGATGGATCCAATTCAGATCCAATCTTCATGGGAATGCATGATTAGAAACTTCACTGTCACCCAGTAGTCTTGAAGCTAAGTCATATTTGACAGCTCATGTGCCAGTGCTCCAGCCACATTTCACATTTCTCCCATACTGCCAGCTAGACATAGAAACTTCTGTGTGAAAACAAACTCTGATATGTTTGTCATCTTTGATTCCTCCATTTCAAGAAGGTCCTACCAGGAGGGCTGAATTTCTACTTTGATACCTTGTTCATTCTAAAAGGTAGCTCAATCCTTTCCAGGGATATCAGATTCCAGCTGTGAGTCCCAGCAATTTCCCCATGATCCTGCTACCTTTCCTAACTCTTTCTGATTTATTTACCCATTATTCTGGATTCACCCTTCATTAGCTTAGATTCAATATTTCTATCCAACATAGGGATGGAAAAATTATAAAATCAAATGTGTTCGACATTTACAAGAAATTTTTTAATAAAACATCTGTTCTTCCAACCAAATCTTCACTTTCTGTATTTGGTGCTCCATCATAGTCAACATTTGACTCATTGCTCTAATTGTGCTCTATTATGCTATAGTAGAAAAATCTACTCTATTCCTTGTTTATTGCTGATATACAGCAAAGTATGGACTTGGAATAGTGTTTCCTGCCTGGCTTCAGAGCACTGGACCAGTGCCTGGTTTCCTATCAATGCACCCATTCAACTGGTTGAATATTCTGCATCAAACCTCAGCATGAATGAGATCAAACACTGTTATGCCAGATAAGATATTGCAACTATGCAGTAGTTGCAGCTGCATTTGGTCTTCACAAAGGGCCCTTCCTACCACAGTGTGTGGTGCTGCCTAGATGTGGCCACTTGTCCACTGTCTTAGATCTATGACAATAAGGTCTCTTCATACCTTGCTCTTATAAACTAGCATCATCATGAAGGATAGTTTTTTTCCAATAAAGAATTTAGGAAAGCATCAGGACTAAGGGTCAATAACATGATCAAAAATAACTTCTTAAAATTGTTTTTCTTGCTTTGAAGGATAATAGAGAATTCACTGGAACAATAGAAAAGTTGATTATTGGTCTCACCTATTTGATGGAATTAAAGAAAAAATCTATTGTATTATAAGTAAACTAGAAAATAAAAGACAACCTGAGATTTCTGATAAAGGAAGAAATCATTATTTTTTTCAAGTCATTATAATATATTTGCATCCTTTTTCTTTAGTTCAACTAACATATAATTTTCTAAGAAGACATTTTTTGACATTAGCCACACAATTGTTGAACAATGACTCTATGGATGATAGTGTTCTGCCAGCAAGGAGCAACAAGAAGGCATGTTCCCGAATTTTCCATACCTACCAACCACATGACTTTAGTAGAAATATAAGGATAGAAAAATTATAAAATCAAGCGTGCCCAATGATGACAAAAATTTTCTAAATCAGAACGTTTGTTCTTCCAGTAAGACTTTCACTTTCTGTATTTGGCACTCCATCATAGTCAATGTTTGACTGTACTAATTATGCTAACTTACAGACAGGAATAAATAATGGGCAAAGAAAACCAAACCTATCTGACTGAATTCATCTTGCTGGGCTTTTCTTCTGATCATCGAACCCAGATCCTGCTGTTTGTGGTATTTCTCATCATCTACTTGTTGACTGTGTTTGGGAATCTGCTCATCATACTCCTAATTCACATTGACTCTCGATTTCACACACCAATGTACTTCTTCCTTAAAAATCTGTCATTTACTGATCTCTGTTTCTCTACAACTATTGTTCCCCAGATGCTATCCCATTTACTCATCATGAGAAAGACCATTTCTTTTACTAGGTGCTCAATTCAAATGCTTTTCTTCCTAATAGCAGGGTGTACAGAGAGTTCACTTCTAGCAGTAATGTCCTATGACCGTTATGTGGCTGTCTGCAAGCCCCTGCACTATTCCACTCTCATGACCCAGAGAATTTGTGCTCAGCTGGTCATGGGGTGCTGGGCCAGTGGAGCATTTGTGTCTTTAGTAGATACCACATTCACTTTATGTCTCCCATATCAGGGACAGAATATAATTAATCATTATTTTTGTGAGCCTCCTGCCCTCCTAAAGCTGGCTTCAGCAGATACCTACAGCACAGAAATGACCATATTTGCAATGGGTGTTGTAATTCTCCTAGGTCCTGTCTCTCTCATCCTTTTCTCCTACTGGAATATTATCTCTACTGTGATTCAAATACAGTCAGAAGAGGGGAGGCTAAAGGTTTTCTCTACCTGTGGATCTCATTTCATTGTTGTTTTCTTCTTCTACGGGTCAACAATATTTACCTACATGCAACCTAATTTGAAGCAAATGAATAAAGGGGATAAGGTGGTCTCAGTGTTCTACTCAGTCATAACATCAATGATGAACCCTTTCATTTATAGCCTAAGGAACAAGGATGTGAAGGAAGCATTTAGGAAAGTATTTGGAAAATAGTGTCTCTGAGGCAGTAGTCTATTTTGGTATGTAATCAGAGGGCAGAGACATTCTAAAGTGGTTTAACATCTTTAACAGCTTTTTTCCCTGAACTATCTCTAGTCTGAGACATCAGCAAAAGTCATACAGGTGCCCTTGCATCCCTAGAAGTGTTTTCAGATTTGTCTAATGCAGTCTTGCTCAAGCTTATTTACTGTGGCTGCAACTCACTTACCTCATAACAGCTTTCTTGGCTGGTATATGAAGAATATTTTTAACAATTAATACAATCTTTTATACGTGGTGCCTTACAGTGCACCAATCCACATTCACCTAGGGATGTCCCCTTCTGTCTCTAAACTCCACAGTGGCTTGCTAGACTCATAGCATGCCAACATCATCTATAGCTATCCATTGCTTTTTGGGAAGTGGGAAAAATATAGAGGTACTTTATTGTTTTCCTGGAAGTGGTTTAAATGTGGAGTTCACCTCTCACTTCATGATCTCTTCTTAATGTATCTACAATAAAGCAATTATGGGTGAAGGATAACATGAGCCATAGAAAATGGGTTGGCCTAGATATGAGTCAAATTTGCTACTTTGACTTCTAGCTGCTATAGCTTCAACGTCCATGGCCTGTTGTTACTTTCCAGTATTGTTTATTCTATGTGATGGTGTCCTTGATGAATTGGATGTATTGTATATAGAACAACTCTGCATGGGAAAATAAATGTGTGCAATAATCACTTCACTATGTACATATGAGGTATACACTGTTTTCAGATTATGTGGACTAACATGTTAATAGAAAAAGAAGCACTTTGGGAGGCCGAGGTGGGTGGATCACGAGGTCAAGAGATCGAGACCATCCTGGTCAACATGGTGAAACCCCGTGTCTACTAAAAATACAAAAAATTAGCTGGGCATGGTGGCACGTGCCTGTAATCCCAGCTACTCAGGAGGCTGAGACAGGAAAATTGCCTGAACCCAGGAGGCGGAGGTTGCAGTGAGCCGAGATCGCGCCATTGCACTCCAGCCTGGGTAACAACAGCGAAACTCCGTCTCAAAAAAAAAGAAGAAGCAGATCTTTGATGAAATTGGCATTCCGTTTTCATCAGACACTGAACTATCTCTAAACGTTGGATAATGAAAGTTGGACTTAAGAACTGCAAAAATGCAAGGTGATGTAATTTGGATTTGTGTCCCCACCCAAATCTCACATCAAATTGTAATTCCCAGTGTTGGAGGAGGGGCCTGGTGGGAGATGATTGGATCATGGGGATGCTTTCGTATGGTTTAGCACCATCCCCCTAGTGCTGTCTTATGACAGAGTTCTCAAAAGATCTGCTTGTTTTAAAGTGTGTAGCATTCCCCCCCCGCCCCCCTTCTCCTGCTCCCACCATGTAAGATGTGCTCACTTCCCCTTCTCCTTCTACCGTGATTGTAAGTTTTGGTGATGCCTCCCCAGAAGCAGAAGCCTGCACAGCCTGCAGAACCGTACGCCAATTAAACCTCTTTTTCTAAAACCAAATACCCAGTTTTCGGTATTTCTTTAAAGCAGCACATGAATGGACTAACACACAAAGCTAATAATGCAAAGGCTAATAATGTACCTAAAATGTGTGGATTAATACACATTATAAATTGATGTTTCTAAAGTATTAAGCAGAATTTTAGGATCAATAGGTGGTTTTCTGTAGATATACACAGAAATATATGTATATATATATAGCCTGTAATATCAAATATGGCATATGAAAAATCAAAGCTGAGTATTGTTTTATTGCAGTATAAGCAAGCAGGTAATAAAGCCTATTGAAATAATTTTATGTCAGTGCTTATCTATCAAAGACCTTTCTTGATTAGTCATTTAAGTATCTAAACTGACCACACTGGTAACTTGCCTACTGCTAGAAGCAATTTTGTACCCTACAGTGTTCAATATGTTGCCCTCTGTGCTATCAAAGGGAATATGGACTATCCAAAGATTAGGTAATAATGAATATTAGGACAGAAACAGTCAGTCTATATGTTTTTGCAAATATAATGATCAGTCCAAAATTCTGTAGTCATCTGTATATTGTCTCATGAAAGGTGGGTTGGTGGGTAGATAGTGTCAAATAGTGGCATGCTGGCTTTTAAAACAATGGCTACTAACTATTAGAAAAGACTGAGACTGTGAAACAGTTTTGAGATGAAGATGACTCTACAAAAGGGTCTTAATATGGGGCATGCCAAAGAGAATTATCATGCACACACAAACTTACAAAACTGCTTACAGAAGAAATGCTATAATATTGATTCAGTCAGATTATAACATTTCTAACCTAAAGCTCTGGTCAATTGTCAGTATAACCAATACCAGCACTTTTGGTTTTATCAACCTTCAGATTAGTTGAGTGGTAAAGTTGAAACTTCAAAAAGTAGGCAATGTTTGTTCCACAGATGGCAGGTTATGTGAAAGGTATCCTGTGCATCGCAGATGATGGAAGGACTGTAGTGGTCTGCAAAGTCCATCTCAAGGGTCAATCACACCCCTTCGAGATATAAGAAAAATTGTGTCCAACTGTTCAAATACTGTGACTAGCATGCCATTCTAGTTTTACAAATAGAAAGATCACTAGGTTTTCAGCCTAAGGAAGCATTAAAACAAAATCTTCAAAAATCATAACAAAGGTATAGTATTCCCTTGAAATTCATATCGCACATTTCTGCTTGTGTTATAAAAACCAATACTATAAGTAAGTGCTACTCAAAGTGTGATTCATGAGCTGGTATCTTTCTATGAACTGCAAGTAATGTATATGCTTTACAAAAGCATTGGTCCAGCTTGGCGCAGTGGCCCATGCCTGTAATCCCAGCACTTTGGGAGGCCAAGGCGGGTAGATCACGAGGTCAGGAATTCGAGACCAGCCTGGCCAACATGGTGAAACCCCATCTCTATTAAAAATACAAAAATTAGCCAAGCATGGTGGTGCATGCCTGTAATCCCAGCTACTCAGGAGGCTGAAGCAGGAGAATTGCTTGAACCCAGGAGGCAGAGGTTGCAGTGAGCCAAGATCACACCAGTGCAATCCAGCCTGGGTGACAGAGTGAGACTTGGTCTCAAAAAAAAAAAAAAAAAAGAAAAGAAAAGAAAAATTATCAGTCTTTAGTGTATGGAAAAATTCAAAAATACAAAGAAAAAAACTAGCTCTGCACTACAGATCTTTTGAGAAGCAGTGTTATAAATAACAGCAGCTACTCTTAGACATTCTGCTGTCTCATGACCACTCTCTCTTTTCTTGCCATGAAGTAATAGGGACGTCATATAACATAATTTGAATGATCAATGAAAAAGTGCTCATGGGTCACTTTGAGTTTATAAAAAATTGTAGACCTTATCACCAACAAAAAACTAGTGGAGTCAACATGGTAAGAAAATACAAATAGTGGCAATAATTTTTAAATGAAAGTGCCAACTTCTGACTAGATGCCAGACCATCAGTGACTGTGCAGCAGTGTCTAGATAAATGTATAGCACTTGAGACACTAACAAGTTACCATAGTTACATTGTTCTGGGAAATACCCACGTTTTCTAGAACAAACACTTTTTCACACTTTAAAGGTAATAAATTTTCTTTCACTTATGCCGCAGGTTGTATGACCATTACTTTTGTATTTAATCAACTCATATAATATCAATTTTAGTAACAGATTGAGTCCATCTAATTTATTTATTAATCTTCTAGATGCTAAATACATAGCAATGAACTATGGTCACAATTCCTTCTTTTCTAGAACTTACATTTTGAATGGGGGTGATACAAAATAAACAAATAAGCACAACACATAATATGTCTGATGTTAATAAGTACTATGAGAAAATAAAAACAAGGGAAGGTGGATTGCAATTTTAAGTAGGTGGAAAGGCTACCTAATGGTTAAAGGACATCTTACATTCAAAGAAATTAACATTTGTGCTGTGACCAAAAGGTGGAGAACCAACCAAGGAAAGAGTTGAAGGAAAAGGGTGCAGACAGAATAGGGAGTCTAACGGCTTGGATAAAAATACGATGTTTAAGATCAGTGCAGAGGAAGGTGTGTCTGGAGGCTGAGTGACAAGAGAGTGGTAATGAATGTCACTGAAACAGGCAGAGGCCAGACCAGTAGGTCATATGTATTAGTTTCCTACAACTCCCATAACAAGTTACCACAAACTCTGTGGCTTAAAACAACAGAAATGTATCCTCTCAGTTCTGAAGGACAGACGTCTGCAGTCAATCTATAGTCTCTGCTCCCTCCAAAGGTGGTCCTTCCTCTTCCAGTTTCTGGTGGCTTCCTTAGCTTGTGGCAGCATAACTTCAATCTTCACCTCTTCATGTCACCTTCTTCCCTTTGTCTCTATCTTCCTCTCTTCTCATAAGGATGCCTGACATTGGACGTAGGGCCCACCCTAATCCAAGACTATCTCATCTTGAGATTTGCCTTAATCACATCTGCAAAGATATTTATTACAAAGATGGTCACATTCAGAGCTTCCAGGTGAACTTATCTTTTTAGGTAACACAAATTAAACCATGGAAGCCTTGGGAGTTCTAAAAGAGTGATTGATTTTATGTTCAGTGGAAACCCATGATGATACTATGTCTTGGAGGGTCACTTTGAGTGTTGTAATGAAGTGTGGGGACAAGAATGGAAGCAGGAAAACCAATCAGTGAGGTTGGCTCTCTTGCAGTATCCCAGGTTAGAGATGATGGACTGAACTAGGATTGTAGCAATAGAGAAGCAGAGAAGATGCCAAGACCTGAGTATACAGGATGTGCGAAGTTAAAAAAGAGAGGATAGAAATATGCTTGCTAAGTCTTTGGCCTGAGCAATGCTGTGGATTCTGGGGAAGACTCAAAAGGAAGACTCTGGAAAAATCAAGAATTTTCCTTTGGACATGTTTATATGGTCCTGTGTTATGTGCTGACTTAGTTTTCACATTGTTCTTCTGTATTTTGATAGATACAATAAAGCTTCATTTAAACAGTCATGACATCCTGGACTGCACCATGTAGCTCGAGTGTGTTTCCCCCATTAGCAGAAGATAATTAGAGCATTTTGAGTACAAATGCATACAAGAGTTTTGAATCCTCTGGCAGTTCTTAGTTTAGCAGGCATCATCCAGATGCAGAATATACTTATATCAGTTACCTTTTACATTATCATCATTACTGAAACCCCTATTTTAAAAATTGTGACAAAGTACTTGGGAGACCCCTGATGTCCATAGGTTGGTTTGAGAAACATTAATCTAGTACCTGACATTTGATGAGATTCAGGTATTTCAGTTTGAGATTACAATTAAAAATACCCATGGATATCTCTTACTGTAGAAGGGTTTAAAAAGTTAGCAGCACTGACTGCTCCAGGGAATATCCTGATTATAACAGCTCTTGGGGCCTCGGGTTTAAAGATTACCTTTAAGGAAATCCCCTAGACTTGTTCCCAGGTGAATTTTTGGACTGTGTCCTTTAATAAGATGGTGTTCTTGAGTTGAGCTAGAATAAGACCTGGCCCAGATGAAGTCCCCACCTCAGCATATTTGGTAAATTACAGTGGAGGGTGCCTAGTAGGATATGGATTAGCAGCCTGCAGAAAGCACAACTTTCTTCATTCATTGCTTATCTCTTCATCACTGCACTGTGTCCTGTGCTTGCCTCATGCCAGTGCTCCAGGTGGGAGTTGTTAGAATGGGGAGGAGTAATTAATTCTCTTAAGGAGTGTGAAATCTTGATTCTGTTCCTGAGGACTTTGCCTTTCCTTCTTTTGCTTCTTTCTCTTTATCATCTGGCTTCTGGAGAGAATTTGTGCTCTTCTTTGTTGCTTCTCCTAGGTAATGGCCTCATAAATCCTGTATTGCAACTTCTCCTTGACCAAGGATACCAGAGTGTGACTGCAAGGGCTATGGATACCCACTGCCTCTCCTTCTGCTATAAAAGCTAATTTTATTGCAGATTCTCCTCTGCCCCTTGTTGTCTCAGTGCACCCCATTCAAGGCTCCCTTTCTCATTCTTCTTAACCATGTGAGTTTAGGCATTGAGAGTCAGCAAGATTAGGATAGAACCTAAGCCTCCTGCCCCAGATACACAGACAGAAACTGCTTGTAGTCAGATGTCCCTGGATGGCCCCACCAGGCTGTGTGAGCATGGTAGTCTGCATGAGAAGGCATGCTGCTCTCTTCCCTATACTTAGTCTCTGTCACACTGACCTCACCCTTCTTCATGGAGATGTTGCTGACAGTGTGTCCATAATCTCCCTTTCACTGGGTGATCAACCCTGGAACTTTCTAAGTCAAGATCTTCCCACACCCCCAGGTCACACTTTCCTTGAGGGAATTAATATGTTGGTGTGGGTCTAGGCATGAGTCTGCTTATTCATTGATTAAATTAACTTTTATTAAAACCCCACAGTGTGTCAGGTGATATTAAAATACAGATGATAGAAATAAGTGATTTATGTTACACTACCTTCAAACAGCAACTCTGTCCAGGGAGACGAACAGGTAAATGAATATAAAAGACTGTAACAACTGCATGAAAGGAAGTATGTACGAATAGTTTTTAAACATTGTGAAGATAAAGGTCAATAATGCCTTCTAGACTAAGTAAAAAAATTTTAGAAAGTAGTCACATTAAAGCTGTCTCTAGGCAATTAATGAATGGTTAAAGCCAAAGAAGCCAGAATGTTTCTGTGGGAAATGTGAAATTTAGGACACTGCAGAGTATTTTTGGCTGAAGCCTGGAATAAAAGGTGACGAAAGAGGCA